ATTGTGACAAAGATACTGCCCCATGGAAACTTACTGTTCTTCAGAGACATGTTTTACATGTTGTGATTTTGTTTTTGGCAGGGGGTAGGGTGTTGGTGGTTGGTGTGTGTTTGTGTGAATCTAATAACTTGACACTGACAGCAGTTCAGAGACATCTCCCCCAGCAAACCACACTAATGGAAAAGCTTATCACTGGTAGCGGCCCTTGACATCAGCTGGACTTTACAATCTCCGTTCACCTACAAAGGTACACTAAAAATGCACTGTAGGCAGAAATGTCCGAGTTTGAGCAGACCCATCTATCTATTTTAAAAAAGGGCATAGCATGTTTTCTGTTGCATATGCAGTTCTGAATTAGTCAAATTTAGGCCATTTGAACTGGCCTGAAAAAAGAATTCCAGAAGCAATTCAGGATTAACTCTGGAAAAAACAATCTCCCCCTACTGTCCAAAAAACCCAAAATAAGCAAAAAAAAAAAAAACAAACAAACAAAAAAACAAACCACAACAACAAAAAAAACCCAACCAAATAAAACCCCCCAACCAATCAACAAAAAAAATCCCCCCAAACAAACAAAAAAACCCACATCCCAAACCCCCTCAAACTAAACCAAAACTACCTCAATACAAAATTGAAGCACAGGAGACAAACAAAACCCCCTCTGAACAGTTCTGTTATTTTTAAAGACACCTTTATAACCCAATCAGTATTTGTAAAATCTAAATAGACTAAGGGTCCCTCTCACACACAGTGGCAGTACATTGTTTAGTTTGACAAATCAGCCTCTGCATTGTCATTTACTAAAGTAAATTTTTCATGATCCTGTCTAGGAAATACTCTTCAGTGAGGTGCTCTTTGGATTTTATCATGAAATAGGTGATACATAAACTACTGCATTGAATTCATAAAGATCAACAAAGAGCATCAGTACAATCTATGGGGGAAAAAAACATTAATTTCTGTAGCTGGAACTTTGTGTTGATAGTTTAATTCTAACCAGAATACCTTCTCAAAGAACACAAATACTCTCAGTTTGTACTGTTTAAATATTTTTTGAAGGTGAACTAGGCAAACTATAATTTTTTAACAAGATGTGCCATGAAACACACCTTTTGATTTACTGACAATGTTTTATATTCTATCTCCAACAGATAAAAATGAAGTTGGTGCTTTTATTCTTCTATCTTCCGCTGTAACACACTGCAAAAATTAGTAACTTCAGCATAGATAGATTTGAAGCCAGGTGATAAGATCCAGTTTCATTCTCAAATTCTGCTATCACCAGCACCCCAGAGTGCAAAATCCTTTCATCCATGTGGTTCTTTTACTTTATCTAAAAAAGTAAGCTCTTGAACTGTCTGATAAAAAGGCATCAATCACACAGCAGGAAGGAAAAGGACAGACAGTCAAAAGAATGAATTAGTCTAGAGAACATACAAGATACTGCTTCATATTGTTGACAGATTACTGTCCTTGATCAGCACTATGCTTCCCCCTCCACAGTACCCTGGTTCTCAAGGATGACTCAGACACTTCACAAAGAAAGGACCAGTCAAATCTTCAAATCAACCCTGCACAGCTGACATGAATGGACAGAAATCGTAAGAGAAATTTCACAGACTGACTAAAACATTAAGAAGGTTTTGGGATTTGGGAATATTTTTGTAATAAGTACACACCAGTGCCACATGTTTCTCTGTAAGAAATCCCTCCTCTTGAAGTTTGTCTCTAGAGGCTCTAAAAGCTGCAGAGAAGAAAGATGGGACTTCCCTTATTGCATTTCCAACTCCCTTTCACTTCAGGAGAAGATGACAAATGGCTAGCAAGGCCAAGGAGAATCTCTCACTAAACTGGAGACTGAAGTTAGTTGTGTAGCAGAAAGCTGAAAAGTATTTCTCATCAATTCTGGGATATCCAAGATCTTTGGAGTAAGAAAGAAATGGCAGACAGAAATTTAAGCACAGCAGCAAAGTAGGAATAAACTCTAAGAGCAGCAGCAAAGTTTATAAGAAAGAGGTGTCAATGATTGATAATAAAATAAGAGGATGAAGAGGCACCAGAAAAATTCTGTTTTGGAAGAAAAAAAAGTATATAGGAAAAGCAAATCTTAGCAGAAGTGAGAATCATTGCCATCCACAAAACGGCCAAATCAATCTGAATCAGGAAAAAAAAGGATGTGGTTACATATTGGTGAACTTTGTTTAAATGTATATCCTCATTGTTTCTCTGGCAAGCATTCTAGAGAAATAAGAAACTTCAAATATTAATATTGCTACCTAGTATTTGTATGCTAATTGTTCTTCGATGCTAATAACTACCTGCATTGCTACTGTCTCTTACTCAAAGTCTCTCCCCACCCTGACCATATCAAAATTTTCCTGGAAAAGAAATATCTGAGAAAGTCATTCTTCTAGTGTCCTAATTCAAATTCTCAACTTCTGACACCAGAAGGAGAATTGTGGAAGACTTCAGATGTAAACTGAAAGTTGAGACCTACTGAGGACCTATGCTTCTTGTAGCAGTTATCCCATGTAGTCAAGGTACATAAGTTATATTTCATCACACATTTGCATATGTGACAAAAAACACGTGCAGTCTGGTTAAAACAGTTTTCAAAGGAAAAATAATACAGTTCTCAGCCTAAAGTTAGGAGGCAATTTTTATGTAAGTCTCAATCCTTAAATAAAGGTACTTAACATAATGTACCTCATACCTCATCTCTTAGGTGTATATAACATAATGCACATTTAATTCCACTGAATCTGTTAAGTGTAAAGCTCCTTATTTTGGCATGTGTCTCAGGTTTGGTCATTTCAGTTTTTAACATGCAAGTCTCTGATTCATGGCTATTGCTATTCCCTAAAACAAAATATCCCAAATTAGCCACCAAGGAAAAAAAAAATCTTTAAGCAAAGCACCTGTAGCATGCATTGTTTCTTAACTACCTATTCATATATTTTAGCAAAGCAAGCTCAAGACAATTGTTAAGCATTCATAAGGCCTCAAGTCCACTTCATTGAAGTCATTAACATTAATTTAATATTGATGTTAAACATTCATTAATATATTATCACTAGTGAAACTGCACCGAAGAGGAAACAAATTTATGATCCAATGCCCCTTCCTGATTTTTTACATGTTCTAAACCAGACCTTTCCCAAACTGAGATATATGTCAGTTTTTAAGATATGAAAATGTTTTTCACTGCACCGAAATTTTGTTAGAAAATATGAAAAAGCCAAATGACCAATTATTGCTCGTAGCTGCATACTGGGGCCATTGCGTTTTATGCCTTGCACTTTAAACCTCACTTGTTGGAAAAGTGACTTTTTTTGGCAGTTCTGCAAAAATCATTTATCTTTTACTTAACTGCTGATACCAGAACTGTAAAACTCAACTTTTAGTAAAGCATTCAAACTATGCAAACATACTCTATTTCATGAACATAATGCTGGCACCTTTTAAACAGCCAAAGAAATATTTTCATCATTCTTTCTTAGTAAGCACTATTCTGGGAATTGACAACTTTTCTTTCCTTCAAGTGTTATTTCCCCCGTGTTAAAGTGTCAGCCTCTAGCTACATGGCTTTTCACTTCTCTAATGTTTGACAGGGTATGAATGACCAACAGGAAACAAACTTGCATGTGCCAGGCTCCCATTAACCCTTCCCAAGCAAAGCCCATAGCATTTAAATTACAGAAAAACATTTAAAAGGATTAGAGATGAGACACACCTGATTGGAATGAAACTGGTTAGAGAAATAAAAGATCCCCACTCAAACTTGAAGTGAAAAATATTTATTTATGGCATGCAAAACTATAAAAATTACTATGAAAACCCTCACAAGATACATTGCAGTAGCCAGACAAAAGCAAGCAAGTATTTTTAGTAATGCTTACTAGCAGTAAAGCACACAACATTAAGAAGCAGTGTTGGAGTATCAGAAAAATAATGTCCACTGGAGAAGTACTGACAGGCAAGAAAATCTGTCTGTTCTCCAGAGTAGACAAGGTTGATCTTCAACCGGATGGGACTGGTATTGCACCTTTTTTAAAGAACATGAAATATTGAAAGAGATGCTAAACATATTATTCTAAAAGCTCTACATGCTGCAATCATGCCAATGTGTTATAGAAAACTAGTGAAAGAGCAGCACGGCAGATCTTCTGAGGTATTTTCTATTTACCCCAGAAGATAGAAATCACATTAGCTGGGGCTTCACACTTGTGCTTTTGCAGTAAATGAACAAACTCTCAGACTTATGTTTTCGAAAACTAAAAACTAAAATTAGGTATTTGGTAAAATTCTGGCACAAAGAAATGAAAGGGAACTTGAGAAAGACTTCAGTTGTACCTTCATCACATAAGGGATGGCACAGTATGGTTTTTCTTTTTTGCAATTGCCAGGTAACAGAGGCAAAAACTGCTGTTTCAGAAACCTGAGGAATAAAATCTGTTCTCCAAAAGGAAAAAAAGAAGCTGAAAACATTTACCCCCTCCACTGCTCTAAGAAGACTTGTAATAGAGTCTGCAATATAGTTCAATAACTTCTAAAAATGAATAACCTTCCTTCAGAAAACAAAGAAAGATTACCAGGCTAGAAACTCAGCATTTCAGGAAGCTATTTCAGAAGTCTAGGGGTTGCTCACAGATATTAATATATTTAAAGGGGTTTTTTTTCTCCCTAAAGCAGTTAAATAATTAAATAAGATTTTATTACATTTGCTTTTTTTGTTCATTTTTTGTTTTAAGACCAAAGAGATTTTACTAAAGAGCATAATATTTTTATGTGCCAGAAATTGAAAATTTGCTGGAATCAATTACTAAAAAAGAGAATATAGAGAATGACTCTATCAAACACTTCTTCTACTGAAAAGACAGCTGTAAAACTCTGATACCATAGAGAACCACCACCCTGCTGTCTTCCTTTCAGATCATATATATCACAACACTGCTTATTAGGGTACCTGGAATAAGAGTTGCCTTTTCTAATTCACTGTGATTGTCCCATGAATTCAGCAGGAGCAGGATAACCTTTGGAAGAATGAAATTCTGTTCAGACTGAAAGAACACTTCATTTAAATTGATGATTAAATATTTGAAGAAAAAGAGGATTTCAGAAGCATGGCAGAATAACGTGAAGATGTACTTTGGTTTACTTTCTGTGTGCCAATTTTAAGTGCTGCTGCAGGAAAACCAAACAGATTTGTTATAGCTTTTAAATCATGCAAGAACTTTATGGAACCGTAATTCTAGAGAAGATTATTTTCCTGAAACTATCTTCACATACCCAGACTTATACAGTTGCTCTGGTAATCCAGTAAGGACAGAATACAGGTTTCATTTCAACATTTTTTTTCCTCCTTAGAAAGGAACCCCTATCACTACACTCGATTTATGTTCATAAGTGATGGCAGAAAAAAGATAAAAAAAAGGATTTGTCTACAATAAAGGAATCACTTTTTAGAGTCTGAAAAGAAGAATGCAGTTGCAGGATTTAAAAACTAAATAAAGGATTCGATATGCATACAATGAATAACCCCCTCGGAGAGCAAACTCATGCCATGTGGTGCTTATCCATAGTTACTATACTGAACTATGAATTTAATAAGTGCATATTCTATTGAGGGGAGAAGAGACAGGAAAGGGAAAAAAAGAAGTTAGGACAGAATCTTCGGTTTTGCACTAGTTTTTTTAGCTACGATGAACCAAAGGCTCTTTACACACTTGGCAATCATAGGTTACTGCTCCAGTGGAGGTGTTTGGGCAAGGTGAAAAGACAGATGGATAAAGACTGAATATAATCCTGGATGCCACTGCATGGGATGGCTGGAAAATGGGCAACTGGGCAAAGAGAACAAGGCTGAATTGCACGAAGACAAGCAAATTAAAAACCCAAGATCTTCACTTGAGCATAATTTCTGGAAACACATAGTGAAGTTTGTGCCGCTCATTTTTATCAAGCCACAGCAAGGCTGGAGAAGCATAAACCATCCTGCAGTTTCAGCCAGCAGCTCCCCTATCACTGGGCTTGTTTACAACTCTGAGTGTGGCACAAGAGAAAACCATCTAGTCAGAGACCAAACTTGTCCACCCTGAGATATATAATATGAGCAGAGGAGACCATACTATAAAGCTCTGTCAACAAATTCTGGTAGATTCTCCCTCTCATAATTGGCTATTTATAAAGATTATGCATGAGACAACATATTCATCATACTGTGCACATATTCGAACTCTATAACGAAATATACATAACAAACATAGAGACGGCAATTTAAGAACACAGAACAAATACAGCATAGGTACAATTTTCAAAAATTCAAGTGTACATGTCAGATTTAAAAAAAAAAAGTGGACTCTTTCACCTCCTGAAGCAGATGGGATACTGCCAATGATTCCAATGAAGTCAGGTTTACAGTTAGGAATTCTGCAATTTTCATAAGCACCTCATAGGCTCACTTTAAGGTAGTGAACTTTATGCACTGACAGTAACATGAAGGGTTAAAAATACACGTATGCTTTGGTCATGGTTCTCTTACAAATGTAGTCAACTAGTAAGTAATGCTGTTTTAACACACTAGTGAGTATACTACATTTGTAAAAAAAAAAAAAAGAAACATATAAATGGAAGTTGATTTTGCAGTAGCATAAATTTCACTGCAGCACTTTTTTTTTTCATTAAAGAGGGAAAAAGGATCACCATATTTCCAATATTAACTCTTAAAGTGTGCAGACTAGCAAAATTCAATTTTCCAGGATGCTAAAGGGGATGAAGGGGGGAAGAAATAACACAGTATTTAAGTCATCTCATCTCCACATAAGTGACTACAGCAACTATATAATGAAGACTTTATTTTTACTACCTGCTCATTACTTTTGATTTCTGAACCTCTGCCTCCACAAAGATTATCTTCATTATTGTTTGCACTCATCACACCGTTGCTTAATTCTGGTGACCTAATTAGGTTTGATCCATGTCTGTTCCCACTGGGCTTTGTTGTTAACACTGAATCCATCTTGTTAAAATGTGGTACATAATTTTCATTTGACCCTTGAAAAGTTTCAGAAGAGTCTTCCAATGCCAGGTAATTGTCTAGCATTTTTGCTCCAGCAATTGACTGATTTGGGCCTTTTAGCATACCAGCTGGTGTTAGCATTTGACAGGTAGCACCAGAACAGTCTTCTTTGTGATCAGATGAAGAAAAACCTATCTTTTTACCATTAATAAGTGACATGTGTTCTTCTAGATTCAAGCCAGACACCTGTGTGCATACACATGGAGCTTCTAAATGACGATCATCAACCTGGTGATTCTTTGGTTCTGTTTCTGGTGGACTACTAATAGCAAATGAATTAAGATTTCCCTTTGAAAAAGCAACCTCGTTATTATTGTCTAGAGGTAGTAACTCTTGTTTTAGAAAGTGATTTTTCCTAGCTAGTGGTCCACTGTTGGTTACAGATGTTAAAAAGTTATTTGTATCTGCAGGTTCAAGTGGTAGCTTTGGAAAGGTTTTAATTTTTCTCAAAGAACCTTTCTTAAAAATGCCATCTCTCTCCAGGTCAAAAACACATGATTTTATATCCAAAGCAACACTAGCAAAGCTGTCAGTATACACTGCGTGTTTGTCCTCTTCTTTGCTCTTTTTAGTTTGAGTTGCAAGTTGAGAATGTTGAGTTTTCTCATTATCCAGATCAATTTGCATTTCCTTTAAACCACTTTCTCTGCCAGTCACCATGGTAACTATAGAAGAGTTGTTATGACAGGTAGTCGTCACATCTTCCACTGCAGACGAATCACCTGCTATGTTGCTTTTCTCATTTGAATACAATTTAGATCCCAAGCTTCTCTGACACATTCTTCCCTTCCACATGCTATCACAGACATCTAGATGAAGAAAACCAGATGTTTATATTAGATGTGCATTTAAACCTTCTAATCTTTTCTAGTAAATCTTTATATTGATTTTTCTGCCACTGCTGTTATGTATCTTCAGTGTGTTGAACAATTTAACTATTTCTGACAAATGACTCTGAATAGTAAAGGACACTCTAAATATATTAACTATGTTAATTAATAGTTGTATGTTCCCTACTCCCCACCCCCAACCTACAAATATTTAATAATGACTCTTTGAAATCTAGAAAGGAACCTATAACAGGAAAACACATAAACACAGTCTTTTAAAATTCATTCTGTATGTCAGGCAATCTAAAGTTCTAGACTAAATACATTTTAAGATTACCTTGAGAAGCACCAAATGATTCAATTGAAAGAACTCTTCTTCCAACAGCAGAGAGGCTTCGACAAATATTACTTGAGGAGGCAATCTTCATTTTTTCTTCACATAATGACAAAATGCTCTAGAGAAAATTAACATTAAATACTTATTATGATGAATAATAAGAATAATAATGAATAGATTTGTGAATTTTGACTAAAGTGAATCATTTGAACTCCCACATTGCATCTGAATTTATACTATACTACACTGGAGGTCTTTCTTGCACTATTCATTATACTGTGTTTCTATTATGTAGTTGAATTAATTTCTGTTTTTTACCATGGGCTATTATGAAATCATTTAATACAGTTTAAGTTTTAGCCTACAGTTAGAACACCAAGAACAACTGATAAAAATTATCTTGAATTTTATTCTTTATGAATAACATATTGAAATGTAAAAAGCTAGTGTTGAGTACTTTTTTAAACAGCCAGTGATTCACTTGAATTGAGTGACATGGGCAGGATGATGAATGTTCCTGAAATTACATTAAAAGTAAACCCTGGATCTTTTAAAAACTGCAAAATACAAATATCTAGAAAGCACTATTCTCCATTAGAGAAAGTCATCTTTATTAGCTCACAAGAAGTAACAGTACTTCATATCTCTAATCTCTAGTCTGAGCACCATTTGATAGCATTAGCACTGGTCTCACACACAGTTAACTACAGATATTCACACATTTAAAAACCTGTCCCTTTGGGTGGGAAGGAGCAGAGAGCTGCATTTCCAAATGCATCCCACCGTCTCCTCACATAGCTCCGAGGAGATGCTCTTTCCCATTAACTTAGTCAACTGCTCTTCTGCTGTTGTGAGTGAAAGGAAGAAATTGGTGCTGTAGGTTCACACACTGGAGTAAGGAAGGACAGGAGAAAGGGAATCAGGTGTCCAGCTGTGCTGGTGTCCAGTGAAATCCCTAGAAATGCCTATGGGTTTTCCCTCCATATAGCTCCCCAACTCCATTCCACCCAATGGAAAAGGAACAGAAAAGAACATACACACAAAGTGACCTTAATATATTACCCTAGACCAGCCCTGACACACATTCTTTTTGGTTCAGCAATAGATTTCTGGGACTACAGACCACTGTACACTATCAGCTCAGGAAGAAGAAAAACCTACAAAAAAACCCCACAGAAAAGTAGATAGCACTATTCTGAGTAGAAAAACTGAGTCCAAGAAAAGTCACATTGGACAACCGTTATTCTATGGCTACATTCTCAAAGTCTGCAAAAACATTAAAGCTAAACTTTCAGATATTAATGTGAAATAACACACTATTAGGTAGCCAACAGAATGTAAATTCTTTGAAAACAGCAGCTTGAAGAATCCTATACAGTTTCAAATTCTTTCCAACAACTAAAGGTAAAATAAGAGGCTAAATAGAATAAAATACAAATTCGAATAAAGATATATAATGAAATACTACGAAGTTTTTACATATTTACAGAAAAACAGCTTAGTAGTAATGCTTTGAACAGCATTGTTTTGAACATGCTGTGGAACAGATGTTTCTGTGGCATGGCTCCCTCCATCCTCTTCTTAAATGCAATTCAATCATCATACAAATTTCACAGTATAATGCCTGTGCTCTTATGTCTAATGACTCTCTCTTTGTAAACTAAATATTAAATGGGAAGAAACAGTTAATGAAATATTTAGGTCCACCAGTGTATTCACCCAACCCTCTTAAAAAAAAAAAAAAAT